ATTTTCTTGGGTAGAATAGTTTGTTGGTGAGTTGTGCAAAGGACCTGTCCAGTTGGGCCGGCGCGCGTCACGTGTTTAACCGTTCTGGGATCTGATAGTGAGGTGTTGGCCAGACCCCTTATATAGCTTCCTTGGATGCTTTACTTTCATAGTTCCTTGATAATGTGAGTAGTCACGAAAGCGCTTGGAATTTCTCTATTCTTTCAGAGTGGTTGTTTTGCATATTCTGAAATCACCTGTTTACTGTGATCTTATTGCATATATATATATATATATATATATATATAATATATATATATATATATATATATATATATATATATATATATATATATATATATATATATATATATATATATATATATAATAGATAGATATATATGTCGTGCCGAATATGTAAAACTAGTCAATTAGCTAGAACTCATTTAAAATTAAGTCCTTTCTGAAATTTTCTTTTATATGTTTAAAGATATATTTTTTTTCATTAATGTTAATGTAAAAATTTTTAATTTTGCACCAAAAGAATTTTAGAAAACTTACCTAACCTTGTTATAACAAGAACAATTTATTTTAGCCTAGCCCAACTAAATATATTTTATATTTGTTTACAATAATTTAATACTAAACAAACACAATGAAATATATTTTTTTCGTTAGGTTCAGAATGATTATGGCGAAATTATTGCATAAGTAAATTTTCACTTGTCCTATATGGCAAGATGAGCGTTGTTATTTAAGACAAGATGGCAAGTTCTGCCTAATCGGCACGACATATATATATATATATATATATATATATATATATATATATATATATATATATATATATATATATATATATATATATATATATATATATATATATATATATATATATATATATATATATATATGTATGTATATATATATAGCCACGTCTCCCATGTACTCAGTGCTGTAATGTACGGTAATTGTGATTTGCAGGTGCCATTCCTGCGAAGCTCCCGACCTGGGCCTCTCCCTTCACACCTTCACAGACTGCAAACTGCGATGGAGAAGGTCTGTACACACAGCCTAACACCCATTGTCTTATATTGCCCTGGTACACGAGAGGCTATACTAACTTAACACCCACGGTGTTATGTTGTATTGGTACTAGACTGATACCCACGGTGTTGTTCTGCTCTTTTACACCAAGTGTTATACTTGCGTAGCTCCGAAGGTGTCATATGAGCCTGTTATATAACGTGTCATACTAGCCTATCACCTAGGGTGTCATACTTGCATAAAACCTAGGGTGTTATATGGCCGTAATACCGTAGGTGTTTAATATTAATATTAAATAATCATTAATATAATAATATGATGATCCTGATAATAAAATTATATAAAAATAATAATAATTATAATGTGATGATGATGTTGATAAAAGTATATAATAATAATAATAATAATAATAATAATAATAATAATAATAATAATAATAATAATAATAATAATAATAATAATAAATACATCAAGGCTGTCTTCGTGTAAAGTTAGTTACATCCACAGGTTCTGCTGGAGATCCATCATTTTTTGGCTCACGTTGAGAACCTACGGGTGTCCCTGGAGTCCCGCCTCAAGCCTGCCCTGGCCATGTACGACACCCTGGAGAACCTCCTCTCCTACAACGGTATCAAGGGCAAGAAGGCCAACAGAGCCATGGAGAACTTCGCCTGGAACGTGAGGATCATCAGAGGCCAACTGGACAGAATCGTCGCCCTCAAGAAGAAGTGTAGGATGGCCATGGAACAGGTAAAGCTGTAAGATCTATGATTTGCTACTTTTTTTTTTTTTTTTTTTTTTTTGAAGAGGAGTGAGGGTTAAAATTTTTACCGAGTGGGTTAGCATAACTACAGAATAATAATTGCTATAAGGAAAAGGGGAGAGGATATTTTTAAATAGTTAAGAAAGCAGTTCAAAGTAAGAAAAAATATTTGGGGCAGTTCTGCACTTCATTTCAGATAGTGTATTTGTACAACGTACTACAAACTTCATTAACTGCACTGATGGGAAATTCTTCGGTGATACGTGAGCTTCTGTGGCAGATGGGCTACATGTACTATGAAAAGCTTCCTGGTAAACAGTACAACGTAAAATACGATACACAAATAACCCGCACATAGAAGAGAGGAGCTTACGACGACGTTTCGGTCCGACTTGGACCATTTACAAAGTCACACTAACCAGAAGTGAGCAGGGCGGCTATATATAGGCAGGAAGAGGTAGTGGTGGTAGTAGTAGTAGTGGTGGTAGTAGTAGTAGTAGTAGTGGTAGTGGTGGTAGTGGGGAATTAAGGAGGAGGAACCAGTCAAATACAAAGAAAGGGTAGCACTGCAAGGGAGCTAGGTGCCCACAGAGGGAGAGCAAGTGCACAGAGGTGGAGGGAAGGGGAAGTGATGAAACAAATAATGAAGGAACAGAAACACGCGACAGAAGAAAGAAAGACAAAAAAGGAAAGAGGAAAGGGGAAGAGGGAGAAGAAGAAAAATGAGGAATCAGGTTAAGTCACTGGTGTTCTGAAGTTTGGAGCATTTTACAATGTAGTGGGAGAGAAAGGCATCTACAGAGACGAAGCCAGGACTAAGATTCATACAAGGAAAGTTGTGTATTAGAGAGGATTCAACTAGACGGCGACTGTTAGAGTTGGAAGTAGGGTAGACAGTTTTAGCGGAAGACCAGTCAGTAGGATGGCTGTGATCTCTGACGTGACAGAACAGAGCATTGTTAGTGTCGGCAAGCCTAACACTATTTTTGTGCTCCCTAAGTCTGTCAGAAAGAGATCGGCCAGTTTCTCCAAAGTATTGAAGAGGACAGGAGGAGCAAGAAATAGAGTAGACACCAGGAACATCTGTAGAGGGAGGAGAGGTATGAACGAGATTAGTGCGAAGAGTGTTAGTCTGGCGGAAAGTAAGCTTGATGTCTAAGGGACGGAGAGAATTGTTGAGATTAGAAAGATCGGAAATGTAGGGAAGGCAGAGGACAGAAGAGTTCCCAGGAGTAGAGAGTTTGGGAGAGAAGAAATTACGTTTAGCACGTGAGGAGGCAGAGTCTATGAAATGGGAAGGGTAGCCAAGACGGGAAAACGAATTATGAAGAGTGGAAATTTCTGCTGGGAGGAACTGAGGATCACAGATGCGGAGGGCACGGAGAAAGAGGGAGATAAGAACACTTTTCTTGACAGGAGAAACATGATAGGAAAAGTAGTGAACGTACATGCCACTGTGCATAGGTTTTCGGTAAACGGAAAAGGAAAAACCTGTATCTGAGCGGTGGACATGGACATCAAGGAAAGGAAGCAAGGAATTAGATTCCCATTCAGCTTTAAACTTAATGGAAGGGGCAAGATTATTAAAAGCTTCAAGAAAAGGTTGGAAGAGACTGGAGTCATGAGGCCACAGAGTAAAGATGTCATCCACATAGCGGAGCCAGAGAGAAGGTTGCACATCGATGGTAGGAAGAAGAACAGTCTCGAAGTATTCCATGTAAAGATTAGAAAGGACAGGAGAGAGAGGAGAGCCCAAAGCGACACCGAAGGTTTGAGAATAATATTTCCCTTGGAAGGAAAAGGAATTAGAGTCCACACAGAGGCGGATAAGATCAAGAAAGACTTCAATAGGTATAGGGAGATGTAGAAACCCTTCAAGGGCCTTATCTCTAAGGAAATCAAGGACATCATCAAGAGGGACATTGGTGAAGAGGGACTCAACGTCAAGACTAAGCATCTTACAGGTTGGGAGAGAGCGAACCCGTTCAATGAAGTCTTGAGAGTGACGAAGGTGGGCAGGAGAAAAAGTACCAAGAAAGGAAGTGAGGGTTTTGGCCAACCAAGAAGCAAGAGAATAAGAGACAGAACCTCTAGGACGAAGAGGAATATCAGGTTTATGAGTTTTGGGAAGGCCATAGAAATAGGGAAGAGAGGGACAGATGACACGAAACCGTTGAACAAGGTCAAAGTCGGAGAGAGTCCTTAGTTTCTTGTTGAAAGTTCTCTTGATGCGATCAAGAGGGTTGGAAACGAGAGGAGTGTAGGTACGTGAGTCAGAGAGCAACACATCAGCTTTACGGAGGTAATCCTCGCGATCAAGGATAACTACCGAATTGCCTTTGTCAGAAGATAGTAGGACAATGTTAGTGTTAGATTTAAGAGAAGAAAGGGCAAGTTGGTAACGGCGCGGTAGGTGGTGATTCTTAGAAAACAGATTACCAAGAACAGGAAGGAGAGCGCCACGAAAAGTGGACAAGTCAGGAAGATTACGGGAGCGAGATTGACGAAAGGAATCAAAAGAGCTAATCAGGGCAATACCAGCGCGAGGAGTAGGCGAAGTGGCAAAGGAAAGGCCAAAACCAAGAAGTTCAAGCTCATACTGAGAGAGTGAGACAGAAGACAGATTAGTAACACAGTCAGTGAGGGAGAATTTAGACCAAGGGCTAGCTGAGATGAGACGTTGAAGTTTATTTTGTAGTTTGGAAGAATGAATTTGTGTATTCAGGCGAGCAGTATCAAAGGCAATGGTAGAGAGAAGGTTACAGAGATCCTGTGGTAGAGCCGCAAAGAGAGCACGTTGACGCTGACGGAAAGTAAAGAAGGCATCTTCAACCTGTGACTTAGTAGAAAGAATGAGCTGTTGAAGTAGGAGACGGGCATGATCAGGAAAGGGAGTGCCCAGTGGGTTGGGTTTCAGGAAATGGGAGAAGGAAGGTAGCAGAACTTGTTCAGCAAGACAGTCACGTAGGAAGCGAAGCTGATTCTTATGACGCCTGGTAGCAATAAGAGCAGCCTCATAAGATCGAAAGAGGGGTTTAAAAGAGGGAAGAACATTAAAAAAGTTGGAGAGAATATGACGCTTAACTGCGGGGTCCATAAATAACAAAAAAAAAAAGGCACAATACCGTGACTGGAACGATACACAAATAACCCGCACATAGAAGAGAGGAGCTTAGGACTTCTGCTTAGTGTGACTTTGTAAATGGTCCAAGTCGGACCGAAACGTCGTCGTAAGCTCCTCTCTTCTATGTGCGGGTTATTTGTGTATCGTTCCAGTCACGGTATTGTGCATTTTTTTGTTATTTGTAAAATACGATATTTGGTATGAAAATCACATATAATGTTAACCGGCTCAGTGTATTGTATATAGGATTCAGCACCATAAAACAATTTTGTACCCTACACCACAAACTATTTTGCCATTAGAACTCTTATTACCCTACAAGGCAGACATTACGAAACTGTGGAGTAAACCATCAGCATCCCGAAGAGAATCGTCAAGCTTCACATGCACTGAAACATCATTGTTGAATATATAAGTATATTTAGTCTATCATTAAGTCAAATGGAAGTGTAACCGCCACTAGTCAGTGACGTAAAGCAACCCATATGAAGGTAAGATGAGTACTGCATATTTCAGTGTTACACTGAGGCTCTCTTCAATAAGAGAAAACCCTTTCTGCAAACACAAGCCAACAGGACACTCAAGCAGCAACAAAACAGTTGGGGTACATGTCTTCCAATCTCATTTAATAAAGAACTGCATCACATCATACTGTTTTCTTTGGACGACAGAGCAATGCAAGGAAGCTCTTATATCAGAAGTTGTAACCCTTCGTTGTGTCACATGATAATCTGTTGATGATCCATGTAATAATTCTGTAAATACATAAGCAACCATTCATGGAAGCATTACCCATCTCTCACATATGTGTGAAGCGGGAGCCTGTTATATATTGACAACCGGAAGGTGCTTTGAGTAACATTAGCATTGCACTCATTACTTTTATTAGCATTCATGGGAGGAGAAATTTTCTGCTGACATGTAAAATTCCCCCTACTTACCTACCTACCTACTTACGTTTCAAAGAAATTCTTGAATAACTCATAAACTAAAAGAGGCTTTCTCAACAGGTGGAGTCAACGAAGGTGACCTTGGACAGTCTTAACACCCGGGACAGGTCACCTTCAGTGAGAGAAAGGCCACGGCTGACACTGGCTAACCGCCACAACACTACTGACAACCTCACCACGTATGGCAGCTTGGGCCGCTCTCCCACCACCCCTAGCAGTGAATGTAAACCCAAGAGTATCCTGAAGAAAAGCAACTCGAACCTGGAGTCCAGCAGTGCTGGGTATGTGAACGAAGAGTATCGCGTCTCGCCCAGCACCTCTTCTACTCTCATAGCCGACGAAGACGACGCTAATGAACTGCTTAAACCCCAGATCTTGCACTCCTTCAGTTACACCCCTGGCTTCAGTTATGAGCAGAACACCGCCCTGTAGTTTGTCTGGTCTCTGAGTACTGTTGGTCTGTGTAATGAGCTGCAGAGTATACAGTAATGTAGGATGTAAGGACATTGAGTAATGTTGACCTGCGTAATGAGTTGTAGAAGATACACGACACTAGTGTAAAGCCTAAGGACATTAAATACGATTGGCCTGTGTAATGAGCTTCACAGTACATAGCTGTGTTGAGTGTAAGGACAATGAACAATTCTGACCTGTGTAGTGAGTTGCAGAGTACACAACAGTGATGTTGAGTGTAAAGAGACTGCAGTGACCTCAAGCACTTTGGAGCTAGTGAGAATTGTGTTGCATCACCCTGAGCACGTAGTCTTGTCTATATTACACACAAATCATCATGAGATGACTGTATTATGTGCACATGACTGTAGTAGGCACACATAATACAGCCATCATAAGATGAATGTATTATGTGCGAAGAAATAAATGATGCAGTGATACTAACAATAATACGAATCATTTACAGAAAGAAAAGGATCTTCTCATCACTTCATAAGAAACACTTAAATAGTTTAAGAAGTAATATCATGTAAACAATACTTGCAACACGTCCATATGTGGCACCTTCAACAATTTCAAGCTTTGGATGGCACTTCAGTAGCAAATATTTTCCAAATGCAGCATAAAAGAATAAATAAGCCTTATTGATATGGCTTCCAGGGTATGGAATTGGTGACAGTGCCATGAGAGTTAAATCCCTTTGTCATTTTTATATATACCTCAGAATGCTAAGCAGTAGCATTTTTAGAGACATGTTCTATTGTAATGGTGCACATGTTAGTGAAGAACATGAAGAACATATTTAATGAAGTGCGACACAATATTTTAAAAATAACAATGTTTTTGTATAGGCTAATTTTCCTAATGGGTGCTGCTACTGTATATATTGTGGTAAATAAGCGTAGTAGTTATGATAATATACCTTTGTAAGATATATGTAGTGTCTCGTGTATTATTTATTTGGTATATACGGTGTTCGATGTACTGTAACTTCAAGTGGTTAGCAGGTACGAGACAAGACACTTGTAGAATCAAACATGGACGAATCACTTACACTAAGCATCGAGGATGAATGGTAAATGCTAAACCTGTAGGGGTTATACAGCTCCTGGGAAAGAGGAGGTAACTGGGTTTGATCCAAGAGATGGGAGAGTCCCTCCAGTTCCTTGGATTTAGGAGCCCCGTCACCATCATCAAGGCTCCACCCTTGAAGGGATAGATGGATGAAAGCCACTTGATAATGGTCCAGGGCTGATCGAGGCATCTTCTACTCTCGGCTACAGAAAAAGTCAACAGGGTTTCAGACCTATCGACTACACGACTGTCGTTAAGGCAGGATATAACCTTTCCACCACGAGACAAGAGTACTGTAAACACTATGATTTGGATTAATGAAAACTTTCAGCATAAATACGCTGAGACACATACACCTCTCGGTGTATATATCCTGTGTCTCCTTTTAACTACACTTTGTAACTTGTGACTACACTCTCCTACATAAGATACTTTATTGAAGTAATTAATAAGTTACAGGAAGTATTCAGATTAAAGGTAGCGATATAGAGGAGAATTTGTACAAAAAGCGCAAGTATGTTGAACAGATATTTTAATGCAGCATGTTTCATTCTATGCTGGACTCTGCTATGGGAGAAACGTCCGCGTAAAACAATGTTCTGCTTGTGTCTGCCCACGCAAAGTACTTCAGAGACATCACTGAAAGATTGATAAACCAGCATGGTGTTGCTGCAAACTGTGCTGCTGTACACTGTAGCACCACACAGTGTGTTGGTATACTCTGTAACACCACAAACTGTGCTGCTGTACACTGTAACAGTGTACAGTGTGATAGTGTTAACTGTAGCACCATAGATTGTGCTGGTGTACACTGTAACACCACAGACTGTGCTAGTGTGCACAGTAGCACCTCAAGTCTCCAACAAACACAACACTCAACTATTTACATACAGTTTTTTAACATTCCAAACTTAAATTTATGAGAAGTGTAAATGATAATCACAATAAATGCATATTCTATTTTAAATACATAATCACGTAATTTTGGATATATTACACTTAGATTATAAAGGCAATTTTATATAAGATGACATGAAAAGAAGTATACATATATATATATATATATATATATATATATATATATATATATATATATATATATATATATATATATATATATATATATATATATATATATATATATATATATATATATATATATATATTTCTAGTAAGCTGGTAGAGCTACAATTAAAAAAAATTAAATTTTTCCAAGATCTTTGGCTATGTGACAGGAGAAAAAAATATGCTAATAAGAGCATATGATTTTGGTCATTTTGGAGCATATAACTATATCAAATTTATATTATGTCTTCCAGTAGCATATGATGTCTTAGTTGCCAAAGTTTCTGAGGAAAAAAACACTGGTAATAGAATGCAAATTAGGTCTGCTAACTGCAAGTATGCAAATAAAGTCTGCTAATTGCAGGTATGCAAATAAAATCTGCTAACTGCAAGTATGCAAATAAAGTCTGCTAATTGCAGGTATGCAAATAAAGTCTGCTAACTGCAAGTATGCAAATAAAGTCTGCTAATTGCAGGTATGCAAATAAAGTCTGCTAACTGCAAGTATGCCACTAAAGTCTGCTAATGCAAGACTGCAAGAAAGGTCTGCTAGCTGCAATAATGGCAGCAAGGTCTGCTAAGTGTAGATATATAAATTTTGATCAGTTAATTTCCAGTACACAAAAGGTGAGCAGCGGATCACCTGCAGCATCATATTAACAGTGTTGTTATTTTTATACATTAACCAACCATTTCATAAAATCCTGAAAAAAATAAAACAATTTAAGGTTTTAATGTAGCAAATACAAATCTTAATTCATATACATTTGTACAAAGTTCATCAACAGTCATATTGAATGTTAATATATGTACATTTACCGTTTATCTAATCTAGTCATTAATGTTAAATATCCATACCATATATATATATTATATATATATATATATATATATATATATATATATAATATATATATATATATATATATATATATATTATATATATATATATATATATATATTATATATATATATACATGCTGTGTGTATGTATGTGTATATAGATATTATTAGTGTACTCAGTAATTCTTTATTGTTTCAGGGAGACGTGAGACAAAGTCTGACCACTACCTTCAACTCTCATTATTATATACAATCAGAATTCTGGTATCACCATCGGCCTCCATACCTTAAATATTATTTCTCGTTTCTTCTGTGTACTCACATCACCTTATTTTGTGTGTGTGTGTGTGTGTGTGTGTGTGTGTGTGTGTGTGTGTGTGTGTGAATAATTATTTATTTGAGTTTGCAGGTGCTTGTCTAATAACGGTAGATACCTACTTAATGTGAGACATGCTGCTTGTTTCTGCTTCTGAAACTCGGTCCGATCTCACGGATATCAAATAAAAAGTCTAGTCACCAGTCTATGGTTATGATAAAACAAGAAGTGTAAAATGCACCTCTCTCTATTGTACAAATTTATTTACTCTGTATGAGCAATAGTAATCCCAATATAACGTAAGTATGAAGCAATAACTGATCACAGGCTTAAGTTCCGTATGCCAAATGTTAGTTAATCAACCTACAAATAATAATTACTCAAAATCTAATACTAGATTAATCATGTAAAATATATATTACATACAAATTTTATGACCTGAGTAAGTATCAAAGCTTGCAACTCACACACGACCGCAAGTCAACACAGTTCTCGTGTGAGTCTGCCTTTACTAAATGATCGGAGACGATGGTCTTAATTCACTGTGTAGACACCATCAAGACAAGACAAATTCCGTACAGTTCTAGAATTAGATGAATTCATAAAGCTGGGTAAATACTGAGTCCATTCGCTACTTAGTATGCAGTAGCAAATCCTTGAGTTCTCAACAGACAGTGAGGAAATTTAGCCAAGTATATCAGTCATAAGTAAAACCTATCACTCAAATGAGCCCAAGTCAATACCAAGGCACATAGTGTACTACACCTAGGCTCAAAATTTATCCCCACAGGAGACACTATGCTCTACAGGAGCTATCTCCCAAAAGCAAATCACAATAAGTTAAACATGATCTAGAACAGAGACCTTTCACATATTACGTTCAGCTGTGACGAGTTGTAGAAAATAAGTCCACAATGACATAATGTGAGAAGCGTGTTTGTAAAAGCGTATCAGTATTCTATAAATATATGTGAAGCTCAGAGTAATGACCCTTTTTCTCAACGGCTATGTTCAACATTGTAGTTATAAAGACAGAGTCCACAATAGAGACAAAGGCTGCACACACAAGAAAATGCAGAAATTCCAAGTCTAAACATTGACATTGTGGAGGAATGGTGTTTGGATATGTTAATGGAGACAAAGTATTAGCTCACACCTTCCCCAATCGGCAGTAAATCACTAACTGATTATCTCGGAGCAAGTGATGGGGCGGACTACCACACCTGGCAGCTTGACAAAATGTAGGAGTGCAATTTATTTGCTTTATCAGTATTTCGTACTCAGCACTTCAACCTGCTCATTCAGTATTACACATATACTATACTATATATATATATATATATATATATATATATATATATATATATATATATATATATATATATATATATAATATATATATATATATGCAATGTTGTAAAAGTGGTTTATATAGAAAATAATATGGATTATTAAAGTAAAAACCTAGATATTATAGATAATGAGAAGGTATCCTTTGTAACAAATACAATGCAAACAGTGACCGTAATAATTTAATACCAAAAACACGAACACCAAATAAAATACAAGTTTATCTTTCGTGCCCACCAGAACTCTTACAACTGGCTTTAGAGGAATGATCCGTGTGACCACATAAGCGTCTGAGTTACCTCATTTTCTCAAGAGGTACTGTACAGTTAAGGACAGTGAACCTGATCTTCCTACGACAATGACCTGCGATTAAGAGCGTTTTATCTGTATTCCAAGGCAATGTATTTATTCTTATATTAGAGTGAAACGTGAGACAAGGTGAGAAGGAAGGAAGCAGAGTGTGTGGCTGTATAGTAACAGCCCCGACACTAGTAGTGGTGCGTTTCCTCTCACTATGAATCTTACAGTAACGCCACCCATCATTGGTCCCACAGGCGCTGTTAAGCAGATATTACATTATTATTAGTTTATTATAGAAAAGTTGCTTAGTCACTTGATATGCATTGCAGTGACCGCATCAATAACTTATAAAGCCCCAATTACTGTAAAATCCTTGCTAAAATCCTTATTTCTTTACTAAAACATCTACCACATAAAACGAACGAAAATTTGTCGCACTAAACACGTCTCAGAATTATTCTAGAAGCTATTTTCTCAAACTTTGGTTAAAGTTTCAACGATTACGCTCAAACTACCCTTAAAGTGATTAATTAATATAAATGGAAAAGGGATGACTTCCATAATAAGCTAATGTGAATACCTGAAATGTCTGTGAATAAAAACAAGAATATCATATAAAGCATATCCTGAACTTCAAACTTTTGTGAGGTAATATTCTCTTACAGATTATCAGTAAAGTGGAGGAACATCATTATATGCTGGTACAAGCCACAAGGAAACATGTTTGTTTCCCTAAGTAGTTTTTCATACCTGTTTACACGTAATGTACAACCTTACAAGTTCTACACCACAGGTTGGTGCATGTGTGACAAGTAACATATTTGGTAACCTTGCCTTGTGTCTTCTAGATACATAAATGTCCTCCCGTAGGGCTGTTATATGCAAACTTCAACACTTGCGGACGAAAGTCTCTGACAGTGCCACTCTGTTATAAGCAGTTTGGATTCTACTATCAAGTGTAGATCGAGGGGTGTAATTTTTTTCATTATTACACCGGTCTAGGGATATGGTAAAACAGAAAAGAAAAAAATAAATCTATCTTTAGTAAATAAAGCATCTCGTACAATTATTTATCAACAATCTCCACGAGAAATAATAACTGATTACAAGGTTATGTTCCACATGAAATAATGTTTAACGAACTGACAAATGATGTTCATTCGAGCACCGGACTTACCAAACATATATGTATTACACAAAGCTCTTAAGACCCACATAAGTATAAAAGTGTGCAATTAGCACATGTTCTCATGTAAATTAACCCCTTCTGGGGCCTAGTTCCTAGACCTTATGTGTATCCATATACTCTTGCGCTACCATCCACAGGATGGATATGGGTGCACAATGAACTAGCCACTTCGGTGGCTAAATCTAAACTCTCAAGTGAACACAATGCAGGTGTGTGCACATACCATTCTAGTCAAAGCATCTATAAAATGCAAAGTGTAAACACTAGCAAAGTCATTAGAGACAAGATCTATTTAATCCTAAAATAGGTTGACTCCATAAAGCTGGACAATACAAAGTCTGCCAACTACTTAGTACGTAAAAAAAAAAGATTTTCCTGAGGCTAAATTCTCACCAAAGAGTTCAGAAATAGAGTTCAGCACATCAATTATTGGTGAAATTTAACGCATGAACAAGTCAGAATAGATCTCAAGACACATAATGTGCTTCACTTAAGCACACAGTCTGAGAACACAAGACATATGCATCAGAAGACTAAGTCTCAAACTGCGCCACAATGGCTGTCTACCAAAAGCATAACACAACAAGTGGAACTTGACCTAAAGCTAAGACCTTTTACAGACTATGATCCAACATGAGAGGGTACAGAACCAAGTCTGCAATGACATAATGTAAGGAATGCATTCGAGAAAGTATAGTCGTATTTTATGTATATTCTGAATGCTCTGGGTGATGGCTTTTCCTCGTAGTATGTTCGATATTGTAATTAAAATGACAGAGCTCACATTATGGACATAAATTGCAAATACAAGACTGTGCAGAAATTCTGAATACCAAAATTGATATTGTGTAAGAAAGGTGTTTGCGTGTGAGGCTATGCTAATAGAGATACAGCAACAGCTCATATCTTTCCCAAATGACAGCGAATCGTTACCTGCCAGATTGCTAAAACAAATACCAGTTATTAGGTAAATA